CGGGGAGCATGGGACACAACTTCAGCTGTCTGGCCCCCCATGACAGTGACAGTGACGGTGACAAGCACACTGGTCTCAAGGCTGTCTCTGCATAGCCCACATGTGTCTCTCCAGCTCTACGTGCAGAGTCACAGTGAAGAGCTGCTGTCGTCTAAGTCCAACTTGCAGGACCCTGTGGCTTTCATCCTAATTGGGAGGCCAAGAGGGTGGTGAGTGTGTGCTCTTCCTAGAGCCCAGCAGCCTTATCACTGTGAAGATGAGGGCCAGGACCACCGGGAGCCAAGGGATGCACTCGGGGAGGTGAGTGGGAGTCCTGGCCACCATCCTAAGCCCCCACTGAAGGGGAGATGGGCAGAGACTTGCAGGGAGCAGAGCTCTTCCCCTCCAGGACCAGCGGCTCAGGGGAGGCTGAAGAGGTCAGGAGACTGAACAGGTGGCCAGAAAAATCCAGGAGAAACAGATAAACTTCTGGATATGGACACACACAACCTACCAAAATTGAACCAAAAAAAAAAAAACTTGAACTAAAAGGACATTAAAAACCTAGGTAGTTCAATAGCAAGCAAAGACAATGAAGCAGTAATAAAGTCTCCCAAGGGAGAAATGTCCAGGACCAGACAGATTCATGGCTGAATTTTAGCAGAACTTTAAAGAACTAACATTGATGTTCCTCAAACTATTCCATGACACAGAAGAGGAGAAATGCCCCCTTACTCATTCTCTGACACCAATGTCACCCTGATGCCAAACCCTGATGCCCCTCTCAAAACCAGAGAGGGGTTTCATATCCGAAATATGGAGCACTCAAAAACACCAGAAGAACAAGTAACCCAGTCAATAAGTCAGCAACTGAACTGAAAATACTTCTCAAAAGAAGTACAAATGGTCACAATTGTGTGGAAAATGTTTGACATCTTTGGCCATGAGGAAAATGCAAGCTTGGATTCCACCTCCTGCAGTCAGAATGGCTATTATCAAGAACACAAAAAATAATAAACGCTGGTGAGGATGGATGGGGGACTGTAACAGGGTGTTGGTGGAAATCAGTATGGAGGTCCTCACAAAACTAAAACTAGAACTACCACATGACCCAGCTCTACCACTCCTCCACATACACCCAAACGAATCAAAGTCGGCGTACCACAGGACCTCCGGAACGCTCATGTTTGCCGTGGCATGACTCAACAGCCTAGTTATAGGGCTGCTGTGTGGTTTGGGACCAGACGAGACAAAGACATGGCACTGGTGATACCGCTGGATTACACTAGTGGACTGGGGAACATCGAGGGCCAAGTCACCAGCCCCATCCGGAAACTACTCATTGTCTGTATAGGTTTTCAGAAGAAAGTACAAAAGGCAGATAACACAACACCCTATAGCTGGTTACACATGCCTTTGTCATTAATTGCTAGGCAGAATTTACTCTTACAGGAACTAATAAGGTAACTATCCTATAACATGGAGGAACAATCAATCACTGTCTGAGACCAGGCAGAGGTGTCCTTGAGGCAACAACTCTCTCAGACTTAAAAGTAAGAAAAACATCACTCTCTGGTGAAGTTGCACTTATCTCACAGCTGGCTTTGGGAGCGCCATGGCTTGTTAAGTTTTGCAGCTCTCTAATTATAAGAAGCAACTGTGTTTCTCAGTCTCATCCTTGACCAGTGTTAGAAATATACTAGTGTTAGAAATACAGGATTAAAACTTTCATTACCTTTAAAATAGCCCCTACAGAGTCAGCCTTGATCCCATCAGCAGCTTCAATGCCCACCCACAGGCGAGTGGGTGAAGAAAATGCAGTGTGTACACCAAGGAATAATATTCCTAGCATAAGGGACAAAATCATATCATTTGCAGGAAAATGAATGGAACTGGAGGTGATTGTGTAAGTAAAAGACGCCAGACTCCCTAAGACAAGTCTCACATGCTTTCTCTCGTATGAAATCTAGAAGAAAAAGAGACAAAGATGACATAAAAGTAGAGGGGAGATTATTAACAGAAAGGGGCCGGGAGGTAGGTAAGGGGATGAGAGGAGATATAACCCAAGTATGCTACCTGCATGTACGAAGGCGCCAGGATGAAACCATTACTCTACATAATCAATGTGCGTTAAGAAGAAAGGGGAGGGCTAGCTCAGTGGCACAGCGCCTGCCTGGCAAGTGCAAGGTCATGAGTTCGATTCCCGGTACGGAAAAAAAAAAAGGGGGAGAGAAAATGAGTTAAGAGCTGGAATGTCTCATCTCTACTCCAGCTTAGAACACTTGTCAGAACACTGTAAGAGTAATCTAAATGTTGAGAATGAGGAGAGCCAGCGGTTGGTGTTTGTACGCCTGTCAGAACACACTCTGTCAGTTGGCTTTGCATCACTGTGATGAACACCTAACATACACAGCTCGAGAGAAGGATTTACTTTGGCTCGTGATCTCAGAGGTTTCAAGCCGTGGTCACTGGCTCCTCGGCCCTAGGCCAAGGCATAAACCTCATGGCAGAGAGTGTGGCAGAGGAAAGCTGCTCACCTGTGGCAGCCAGGAAGCAGGGAAGAAAGAGCTCCAGAGAGAGGAAGGGACTGGTGCTCCACTCACCTCCCATCAACGGGACAAAATACTCAACACCCACAACTGAAAGGAGAAGAGGTTTCTTTGGTTCATGATTTCCAGGGGCTCAGTCCATGGTCTGCTGGCTTCAAGACAGGAGGGCATGGCAGACGGGCCTGGAAGAGGAAAGCTGATCAACCTATGGAAGTCATGAAGCAGAGAGCAGGGAGGAAGCAGGGATAGGGACCCATCCTTCCAGGTGACATCCTAGTGACCACCTCCACACAGGCCCCACCTCCACAGAGCACATTCAGCCATGGATGGATGCACTGAGGAGTGCAGCACCCCATGATCCCATCACCTTCCACCCACAGGAGACTTGGGACATTTTAGATCTAAATCAAACAGCTGGGGACAAGATGTACCTTCAGAAGCACATTCCCAGTGACCCATTTCCTCCCAGCAAGGGTCAACCTCCTGACAGCCCAATCCACTGAGATCTCATTAACAGACTAACCCATGGATGTGGTCAATGCCCCGTGATCCAAGGCCCCTCAGTCCACATGCCTTTGGAGAACACTGTGTTTAAACCATAAATACACTTGAAGTAGCTGCTGAAATGGTCTCCAAAGACCACTGGGCACTGGGAGATGCTGGAGGGAAAGGCATCTTCAGGGAGCACAGAGTGGCCTTCTCCATGACTTGGCACAGAAAGAAGCTGATCACACCCAGAACAGACCTCCTGGAAGACAAACAGGAGGAGTTTCCAAGACACTGGCCAAAGGGGCTCTGTTAAACACTGCATAAAATCTCCTGAAATAAAAGCAACAGAATGTACATAAGCTGGTGGAAGGCAGTAAAATAATAGATGCACTTAAAATCACATGAAAGATTTAAGCTGAGAAACCCTCACTATGGATGGGGACAGAGCCAGCAAGGTGTGGAAACCCACAGCTCAGCGCAAAGCACGGCTTTGGTGAATTTCCCAAGTTAGGAAAGATGGACCATGATTGGGGGCAGTGGACCACATGGACGGAGGAAGGAGGTGGGCCATGCATGGAGAGAGGATGTGGACCATGCATGGAGAGAGGAAGAAGGGGAGCCGTGCATGGAGAGAGGAACGAGGTGGGCTGTGCGAGGAGAGGGGAAGCAGGGGAGCCGTGCATGGAGAGGGGAACGAGGTGGGCCGTGCGAGCAGAGGGGAAGGAGTGGGCTGGCTGCGCACGGGGAGGGGATGGAGATGCACCTGTGGGGTTAGTGGGCAGTGGACCACACACAGAAAAATGTAGACACACAAAAGTCTCATCCAAGTTTCCTTCAAAAATTCAGAGCCATAAGGAGCTGACAACATCAACTCTCGTCCCACAGAAGCAGCTCAAGTAAAGGCACAGAGAGACACTGTTGAGAGATCTGGAGACCTCTAGAGAAAGACAGGCAGACTTCTGATAAAATGTGCTGAAGAAGAGTGTAAAGTGAGGCTTCCAGAACAGCATGCTACGTCCCTGGTGTTCTGAGGGACCACCGCCATGCTCCTCGCCAAGGGTGCTGTGGCCGAGGAAGGTGCAGCTTCAGGCCCTGGTGACCTCAGGAACCATTTGCCACCAGGCTCAGGGCCGAGGAGAAGGGTCCTCATCAGGCATGCACAGGTCCCGCTGGTGCATTAACAGGCCCCAAAGCAAAACAAAAACTCAGTGCCCCTGGGGCAAAATGCAGAAGGAAAGTGGGGAGGGAGTGCAAAGCACACAGCTTCTCTTCTTCCTGCGGTTTGTCTCTCAAAGGGAGCATTATTTTTCAGTTACTGTTTAATGCATTCTCAACAAGAAAATCCACCATCACAGGAAACAGTGTGGCGCTTCCTCAGAAACCTAAACACAGACCTGTGCGCTATGCACAGGTCCACAGGCGGGATTGGGGCGTGGAAGGGCATCTGCTCTGAGTGAGCTGTGGCATGGGTCCCTATGGCCAGGATGCGGCATCAGCCTGCATAAGTGCCCAGCAGCAGATGACTGTGTAAGGAGAACCTCATGCATACCTTATGGTCTACACCTAAAAAGTCCCCCAAAAGACTCACATCCAGAAGTGGGGCCTGAGTGGAAGTGGTCACTGACCCGTGACCTGGGTGTGCTCTGGTCCCCGGCTCCTCCCTTCTCTCGCAGCTTCCTAGCCGCCATGGGTAAGCAGCTTTCCTCCGCCAGGCTGTGCCTGGGAGCCAGCTCACCATGAAGTGAACCCTCTGAAACTGTGAGTCAAAATAAACCGTTCCTCCCTTAAGTCACAGGTGTTGGGTATTTCGTCTCAGCAACAGCAAAGTGACTAATACAGATACACAGCATGGAATACAATTCAGCCATAGAAAGGACAAACTCCTGCCACTTGTGACAGCATGGCTATAACGGGAGAGACCACAGTGCTGAAGCCAGGTGCAGAAAGACCAGGCACTGCCGACGTCACTCACACGTGGAATCCAACAGAGCTGATCCCATAGATGCTGAGAGCGGAGTGGTGGTTCCCAGAGGCTGGGAAGAGGAAAGGTTGATCAGTGGGTGCCAAGTAATGGCGTGACAGGAGAAGCAGCTCTGGTGCGCCGCTGTGCAAGACGGTCCTGCGGGTGAGAGGATGGCCATGCATTTCCCGACACCAGAAGACGGGACTCAGGGGTTTTCAGCACACGGAAATGGTCAGTGTCCCAGCTGGATGTGACCAGCTGACCTGAAAACACAGCATGTCAAGAGTCTCACGAGATGCTGCATAAACTGTGCAATTATCCTGGGCCAATTTAATTTTTTATTTTAAAACCCTAAAATTCAGAATTATCGGAGTGAATCTGCCATTCCTCTTTAAGAGCACATTGAACCTGGGCCCCAAGTCAGCAGAGGTACAAGTGTGTGTCAGAGGCAGTCTGTGTTCATGACGTCCCTCGTAAGCCACCTCAGCACCATCACCTTTCCCCACGCTCTGCCCTGTTGCCCTCAGGGGCTGCCTGGCCCTGGGCCCTGTGGCCCTCTCTGCCCAATTCCAGCTTAAATCAAGGACCCCAGGCTCTTGTCATCCAGCTGCAGGTGTGACACGCCGCCTGTCCTTGCCCACGTCTCACGCAGTGGGTCCGTGGACTCTGTGTGAGGTTAGAGCCAAACTGGACACTGGGGCCTCTGAGATGAAAGGGCTCAGGAGCTCAGACAGATGGGCTCTGGGGAAGACCCACAGGTCTGAGCCAGGTCCTGCACTTTCCCCAGAAGGCCGACTCTCTCTCGCTGAAAACAGATCTGCTGGACCTGAGGGCCAAGAGTGTTTTCTAAGGAAAATTTGTGTAAGAAAAGCATAGCTGTCCACCAGTTACAGACAAGAGGGGTGGGATCACGTGCCATAGTAGGGAAGGCCAGGTCGGCTGAGTGTGGCTAGCGCATGGTCGCCACCTGGGCGGAGTCCAGGCCTCTGCACATGGCAGCACAAGTCAGTCTCCTGGGGCCAGCTGACTCGCTCTTCCTCCCCTCCAGCCTCTGGTCTCAGGAGGCCACAGAGGACTCCTTGGGTTTCTCTTACCTCTGGGGTGTCACAAAAGCTCCATGGAGCAGGCAGCATGAGGATCGCATCTGTGGGACTACTCATCCCTATCCCTCCAGGGTGAACTGGTCCGGAGAACTAGGTGCCTGTGGATGAATAAGAAAAGTAAAGGTAAAAGAGAGACAAGAAAAACAAGAGACAAAATTCTGAGATCAGGGGGCTTACAGCCTCTCAGACTGCTGTCCCCAAATACCAAATTCAGACACCTTTTATTCAGGGAGAACCAAGGACAAAGCTAGGACAAACGGGAGGATACCAACCATTCCAGCAAGGAATAATTAAAGGATCTTCCAAGACACACCTATAGCTGGGCGTGGTGGTGCACGCCTGTAATCCCAGCACTCGGGAGGCTGAGGCAGGAGGATCATTGCAAGTTCGAGACCAGCCTGGGCTACAAAGTGAGCTCAAGCCCAGCCTGAACTGCATAGCGAGACCCTGCCTCAAAAAGACAAAAAAAAAAAAAAAAAAAAAAAAAAAAAAAAAAAAAAGACACACCTATAATCCCAGCACCCAAGAGGCTGAGGCAGGAGGATCCTGAACTCAAGGTTAAACAAATCATTGTGTCCTCAATGCATTCTAATCAAAGAATGTCCTTCTCCACATGCACCTCTGCGCTGCTCATGCCCACCTGACCCGCTGCTCATATGCTGCACATCTCACTGGCAAGACACCAGCGCAGACACAGAGTCGTGAGAATTCGAGGGCGGCAGCCTTGCAGCCTTCAGGGGAGCAGCCCATGCTCAGGACCCAAGTAAGCGCCCCAGGCTAGGAAGAGGATGTCCTGTCTTCCCCTCATCTGGAAACCTAGAGTGACGAGGAACAATGCCCCAGGGTCCCCCACAGCCAGGAGAGTATGACACCAGGGCTGGGTTTGTCCTTCTGCCCACGTGGTCCAAGGAAGCAAGAGGCCACTCTGCCAGGGCTGCGCACTGGGCCCCTTTGCAGGTAGCTTTACCTCCTGCTTTGTCTTCAGCGCTGTGAGTCAAGTGACCGCCGCAGCTCACAGGGAAGCAGGCGGGTACCACTGCTCGCTTCTGCAGACCTCACACTCATTTTACTCCGGGGATGAGATGTGTTGACCTGAAGACATCCCGCTTGGAGGAAAACCTGTCAGTAGCTCCACGTGTGCATGGCCTGACCCTGGAGCCCTCCTGTGACCACCAGGTGCTGTGCAAGCAGACACGGCACGGTCACCAAAACGGGTCAGTCCTGGAAGAGGCCATGCCCACCATCCTCGGTGCTCCTACGCTGTTCCTGTGCCTGCCCCTGCCCCATTGCCCTCCTGCTCCTGATGCCACGTCCTCCTTGGAGCCAGAGCCACTGCCTGATCTCCAGTGGGAGACGCTGCTGCCATCCCTGCCACCATGCCGCAAGCCGTGCTCGCCATGCTCCTCACGATGCATGACCGTGGCTGAGCGTGGCCAGGCACTGACTGTATCCCCATCTTTAGGGGAGGGAGGATGGCACTGAGGTTTCCTGCCTCTTCCTCTGTCTTGTGGCACTCGGGGTCCAGCACAGCTCCTGCAGCAGGTCCCCTGTCCCTGGACCAGAGACACACCTGTCAGGGCCGCCTGCACGTCCCTGTGGGACCTCCCATGCCCTGGCGCCCTTCCTGAGGCCTGACTCTCCCCTCCCTCCAGATGGTTTAGGTGTGGATGAGGTTCAGATCCTGCACCATTCAGGCAGTGCCGCCTTCGAACCCACTTTTGGGGGCTGGTGGGCAGCTCCGTGGGGGTCATCGCTTGACCCTTGTGCAGGTGTTGGTGAAAACCCTTCCCTGCCTTCGCTTCCTCATCCACCCAACAGCAGCCCTCCACTCCTGCCTGGGGCATTACGGCCAATGAGCTGGCCCCCTGGAGGGAGGTCCTCACGTGCCTTTCAAGGTGCACCCCCTGCCGGAGTGCCTGCTGTGATGGGGGCCTCTTGCTCCCTTTTGTGCGCTTGGGCAGGTGAGTGCCCTCATCCCCAGTTCTCTCCCGTGGCCCAGGTCCCCTTGGCCTGTGGTAGCTTTTCCACTGTTGGGAAGGGCTCTGTGCTGTGGCTCTGGGTCCCGAGGTGGCAGCTCTAGGCTGTGATTACCACGCTCATCAAGGGGGCAATTACAGCCACAGCGGAGCCAGAAGCCACGCGAGCTGTGGGGGGGGGATCAGCGGGAGGCTGGGTGGTGTAGCCCTGGCCTGGCGAATGCCCCCTGCACCCCTCCCCCAGGAAGAGCTGCTTCCTTGGGCTTGCTGGCTGTCAGGGGCTGTTTAGCGCCCATGAGTGCCACAGAGTGTAATCTATTATTTGTTCAAAAATAGGTTTCTTGAGGTAACGACAAAGGCCCCAGTACCACGTCCTACTGAAAGCCCTGCAGGAGGCTGGCCTGGCTTTTTGTAAGATAATCACAGGGCTTGTGTGTTCCACAGCTGAAACCCGCAATCCCATCGATTTTGCTCCTGGGGAACTGGACCATCGATGAGAGCAATTGCCCTAGAGGACCAGTGGCAACTGCTTTGCAGTCAGCATTGAATCAGCAGAATCCAAACATCCAGATCTCGAGATGGTGGAGATCCCCCCACCCCACTCCAGGATCAAAACCAATCTGGAGGCAAGCATTCCTTTTACATTTCTGAGATATTCATGGAACTCAGCGGAGGCAGAGATCCACTGACCCGTGGCTGCCAGAGCTGGCCTCAGGTCACAGGGCTGAAGTCAGGGCAGGGGAGACAAACAGTTCCTGCTGCTTGAGCAGTCTGTCACCGGGCCTTTCATATGCCCACTATCCAGTGTGCAGAACCAGGCTGTCCATGGGGGTTGGGAAGCCAGCAAAATCTAGAGACCATGTTCTGGGCACCAAGCACCATGCCAATACCACACTGGGAAGGGCAAAGGGTGCCTATTGTGGGGGCTTTATGGGAGCCCAACAGCACCCTTCCGGCATTCTTTAAGGGCGCTGCTAAGATTTCTGCTCTGTCCAGCACTTCCAGCCCCAGTGCTGAAGTGGCTCAGCAGAGGCTGGAGTCTCAAGGAGACTGAGGCAGGCACCCTGTCCACACCCTCCTGTGGGACCCAAACAGAGTAGGGAGGGGAACGATCAGCCCAGCCTTCAGGAAGCACATTTGCTGCAAGGCCCCTCCTCTTTGAGAGCCCCTGGTGGCCACTGGGTTACACCAGGGATGGACCCACAACAAAATGGCGCGGATCCAATTCCAGCTCCAAGAACAAGCCTGGAACCAGACAGGAAAATGAGGCACTTGAGGACTGGGGAGGGAGAAGCCGCCCGGCCTCAAAGCTCCCAGAGCCCTGCAGCCTCTTTCTCAGTCACCTAGATGCTTCAAGATCCCACCTCCGCTTCCCCACCCCCTTGTGCTTAGAGCTGGCATTGCCCACAGGTGACCACAGCAGAAGCGCTCAAGGTAGGGGTCTCAAGAGCACGGCAGAGCAGGACAAGATGCCCATAGGGCAGTGCTGCAGAGGGCAGTAGGGCCACTTTGCAAAAAGCTCTGCACCTGCTAAGTAGGAATGTCACTCAGGGTGACAGGAGATCCCTGAGGGTTTTCTGACAGGACAGAGACTCAAGGGAAGGAGAGTATGGTTAAACACCGCTACAGTGAGGCAATGGACAGACCCTGCAGCTGGAGAATGCCTTGGATGACAGTGTGTGGTGCAGGGAGTCTCCAATGGCCCAGACCATCCTTGCCCTCATCCCCCTTCACTAAGTCTGCAACTAATCCCTCCACCTGCTTGGAGAAAGCTGTTCCTGTGAACTCCTCCCAAAGCCCCTCTTCCTCCTCTGAAAACCTTCAGCAACTTAACAGTGTCAATGTTTCAGTTAATGCCTAAGGATACCTTTGATGATGTGTCCATGCATGTTGGAGACACAGGAGATGAGATGCCCCAACAGAGAAGAGCTGAAGGACACAATCAACTCTAGCAAACCAAGGTTCCTGCTTCTGGGAAGTCTCCTAAACAAATGGGAAGATCAAGTCCCTACCACAGGCTAAAATGATACCTTTCCACTAAAAACACGAGGTGCCATCCATGAAGCCCTGTAAAGTGGAGTAGCACTTTCTCTCCCTCCTAGGTCTTGGGATGGGGCACTGATCATCTCATTCTAATTATTTTGTATTTTCCTTCAAAGTGCTTGTCCCTGGCTGGGCACGGTGACATACCCCTATAATCCCAGCACTTAGGAGGCAGAGGCAGCAGGATCGGGATCACTGCAAGTTTAAGGCCAGCTTGGGATATACAGTGAGTTCAAGGCCAGCCGGACTACATAACAAGTTCCTCTCTGAAGAAAAACAAAAAACAAACCAGTGTTTATCCCCACATTGGGTTTATATTATAAAACAAAACTTCATAAAGGAAGATAAAATGAAGCACAGTTTTATGTGAGTGCAGAATGTATTTGCACAACAGAAAAACAGGTCAGCAAGAGACAGTGCCTAACCTGTGCTCTGCTGAGGTCAAACAGGACCTAGGCTTTTACAGCAAAAAGCAGCCTTCTGTAGGATAAGCAGGGTCAAGGTAATTTCCAGCAGTTGAAAACTGATGCAGATCAGGGGGCTGTAAATTTTGCAAACCTACCGGATCATCCAGTCAAGAGACCACTGGACACTCTTTATTTCTCAAACTTGAAAACTGTCCTTAGATTCCACAAAAATTGTTCCCTATGGCTGCTACTGGAGTCCTCGGCCAGGTCTGGAGGTCCCAAGAAATCACTTGCCCCAAAAAGTTATGAAGCAGGAAAGGAATTTTGCCATTGTAGCTACAATGGGAATAATAAGGGGACCAGATGTTCTTAGCCACAACTTCAGGGAGACAGACTGACCAGACTCTTTACGCTTATGAGAAAGAACGGAGGCAGAGAGCAGAAGGTGTGCACAATTACACAGTAATAGTCACCTCCGGTCTGGTCATCACTATCTCCATTCTGCTTCTGCACGGTGGCTGCAGAAAAGTCCTCATGACTTAAAAGGACTCTGGTTCCCATGAATTGATGGCTTCAGCATGAGAGGTGGGCAGCCTCCTTCCCTTCAAGGAGTAACTGCTCTCACTTAGGGAGTGATCTCATCACAGTTATGTCTCCCAGGCTCTACTATTCCTGGAGTGGAAGGTGACTTGAGATTTAGGGCAATGACTGAAGATGACCAGGCGCGTTACAGAGGGTCTGAAACAGGACGTTTTGGCAATTAAATGTCCTTGAAAATCTTGTAAATATCCCAGCTACTTTTTCTTGCGATCTTCAGTCTTCGAGTGGGATGAAGTAGGTTAGACAAAATTTGGGGACTAATAAACCTAGCTTACATAGACACTCCTCAGGTGATTAACATGCACACGTGCAGAGCTGAGCAGAAATCTAAGTCAAAACTTAAGGTAATAAAGGAGGGACACAAAATGAAGGCAGAGATACCAAGCTTCATCCTACCTTTGGTTATCCACTGAGCATCTCGGGGCCCCAGAGAAGTCAGTGCATTTTAGCAAACGCAGCCCCTAAATCGGTTGTAGGACAACTCAGCTTCTGATCCTACATCTGTGTGACATCTTAGCCGTTAGAAAAGTCTAAAGTTCAGGAAAGAATTTCTGCTTCCCGTGGACCATTCTGATTTTTGTGAGCAACACCGTAACAGGGCCCTCTCGCACACACACAAGAGAAATCAGGTGTTTGTGAAGCTGATGGCTATTTCTTTTTTCTTAACTTGTGCACGCAATCCCAGACTTACCAGTAGATTCCCCGATCGCCCCGCCCGCCTCCCGCCCATCCTCCTCCGCGACCCTGCTTGTGGTCTCTGTGGCCCTTCCCGCAAATCCAGTGCGTGTATGCTGTGGGGGTGGGGCGGGCCCCCACGGCGAAAGGTCGGCCCCACGCGCACCCACCGTATCCTTCGGACCCCTCCACCCAACTCCGCTACACGCACACAGACGCTGCACCCCAACCGGCAACCTCTCAATCTAGCCAAGCGCCTGGCTATCGCGGAGCACGTCGGGAGGACGGCGCGGAAGGGTGATGTCACAGCTGCGCCCAGATGCACGGATGCGCGTGCGCAGGGACGGGCGATTCCCACTCCCAGGGGACCGCGCGCGCGCGTCCACTTCCGGCAGCGGCCAGTGGCCCGGAAGCGGCGACCGGCGAATCCCGCGGCGCCAGGTGTAGGCGGCTAGAGCATGCAGGGCGGTCAGCGGCCCGCGCGAGGCGCGTTCGTTCCCCCGCTACAGTGGCGGCGGCGCGCGGCGGCTCTATCGTGAGCGGCGGCCCGGGCGGCCGGCTGCGGGGGGCGGGCAGGGCGGCGCGCTTGGCCGGCGGACCGCGGCGCCATGTGGAGCGGCCGTAGCTCCTTCACCAGCCTGGTGGTGGGCGTGTTCGTGGTGTACGTGGTGCACACCTGCTGGGTCATGTATGGCATCGTCTACACTCGCCCATGCACCGGCGACGCCAACTGCATCCAGCCGTACCTGGCGCGGCGGCCCAAGCTACAGGTGAGCGCCGCGAGCCGGGTCGGGCGTGCGGGGCTCCTCAGCTTGCGCTACCTGTCGCCAGTACCACAGCCCGGTGTCCCGGTGGCCCCACTGAAAAGGGGCTTGGGTTTCTCCTCATCTGTGTGCTGCGGGCTCCAGGTGCTGCCCCTGGTCACTAGTGTCAATGCCTGGTGTGCTGGCATGGCTTCTCCTGGCGCCCTGTGCTGTGGGCACCCCTAGGTGCTGCTTCTTTGGCTCCCACCTGTGATCTTCCCCAGCCTCGCACTTTGGCATGTTCCTCCTCTGTAGCAGATGTGTCAGACTCCCCCGAGTCCGGAATCCTGCCTCTAGGGGTCCATCAGATAGATGCTCTGCCCTCCCGGCTGTGGGCTGTGTTTTCTGCCAGGTGCCTTGGAGGCTAACTTTCTGGCCACCTTTTCCAGCTGAGCGTGTACACCACTACGCGGTCCAGCCTTGGTGGCGAGAACAACGTGGACCTGGTCTTGAATGTAGAAGACTTTGACGTAGAGTCCAGATTTGAAAGGTAGGAGTTAGTCCACGTGTTAGTGTTAGCACTTTGTGCATCACATTCAGACTGAAAGCAGCAGGGGGTGGACTTGTCACTTAGGAAGTAGCTCACACTCATGTCTGATGGCTGTGTAGTGCATGCAGCTGGGGCTTCTCCAGAGAAGCACGTGTCACTTCCACCTGGTGAAGTAATTCCCTTGAGCTGTGAGTAAGGGAAAAGAAGTAAGGGTGGTCTCAGTGGCACACACCCACCTGGCAGGCACAAGGTCCTCAGTTCAATTCCTGGTTCCAAGGAAAAAAAAAAGGTGGAGAAAAGAATTGTGCAGAAAATCAGAAAAGATCAGGCATTGTACAAATATGTTAACTTTTAAATTAATGTATAGTTTAGCGTTTCATATAGAATTCTAACTCTTCAAAGTTCAGCAAGAAGCCAGGTGTGGTGGGGCAGAGGCTGAGGCAGGGGGATTGCCCTGAATTTGAGGCCAGCTTGGGATACATAGTGAGTTCAAGGCCAGCCTGAACTGCATAGTGAGACCCGTCTCAAAAAAAAAAGTTCATCAAGAATGATGTTAAAAATGATCTGCTAGTCAAGACCCTGTCTCCTCCGTCTACACTGCCTGGAAGTGTCAGACGTGTCTTAGGTGGCCAGTCCTCCCTGGGAAGCTGTCGCTCTGCACTGGGTGAGCAGCACCTCATCAGCCAGGCTGGTTCCACCTGGCTGTTTAGCTGTAACCTCGGCAAGTTAAGACCCACTCTGAGGTTCTTGAAGTGCAGACAAGGAGTGCTAGCCTATGTCTGTTTAGTTCTAGCAGCCTGCACCTGTGAGGGCACAGGCATGCCCTCTTTGAGCTCTGTTTCCTGGGTGTGACCACTGCCTCCACGCCAGAGCTGTGCCAGTTTTGGCGGAGAGATGGTGAGGGTCTTGGTTTCTGATCCTGGGGGAGGAGAACATACATGCAGCTATTCCCGAGCCTGCCCCAGATCATGCACTCACCAGAGACCACCGTGCAGCTTGGGCTTCAGTAAAGCTCAGCACCCATGGTAAGGAGATCCACCCATGTGTAGGGTGAGACATCCAGCATTCCTGTGTTTCTCTTCGTAGCAGGGCTTGCTCAGAACTCTGGCTGTGAAGTTGTAGAGGAGGGAGGAGGAATTCATGGCTGAGGTCATAGTCGGGAGCATCGGCAGGTGTTTCTTGGGGTGAGCATGGTGCTCGAGCTGTCTCTGCTCAGTTTGAGAGCCATGGCCAACTTGAAGCTGGAAGAGAAGCCAAAGACCCACCCACGCTAAATATTTCTGAGCTTTCTTCGTCATGCAAAGAAGCCCTTGCAGCACACACAGTTGCTCTTACTTCAAGAGCCTGGGGTGTGACTTGGGCTTGGGAGTTTTGAGCTGTATTACTTCTGGTGCTGTAGAAATCAGCTGGTCTCCTGCCTGTCCTCTCCAGCAAGTTAGTGACCCATCTGACCCTTGTGAGGTAGTGGTGGCAGTTCTGGTTATCACCTTCAGTTAGAGGTACGCACGCTTCTCACAATGCTCAGGGTATGTCTATGTTCAGAGTAAAGTCACAGGCAGGTGGGTTTCATTTTAAGTAGCTCTGAGCCAAAATGAGTTGGGGTGGGACAGCATTATCTCTAAAGATGTCTGAGCAATGTGCGTGTTTGTATAAACAGAGACTATAATATACGTTTTTGAGATGACCGTTTTTTTCTGTTTTAGGACAGTTAATGTTTCTGTACCAAAGAAAACACGAAACAATGGGACGCTGTATGCCTACATTTTCCTGCATCATGCTGGGATTCTGCCCTGGCATGATGGGAAGCAGGTGCACCTGGTCAGTCCTCTGACCACCTACATGATCCCCAAGCCAGAGGAAATCAATCTGCTCACAGGGGAGTCTGCTGTGCAGGTAGGGACCTCACAGAGCACCCACAGACGCTGCTGAGCTCTTGTCTCCCACTCAGAGTTTGCACGTGTCCTACATGGCAGCTCGTGTGTAGGGCTTTAGTGCTTTGTTGGAGACTAAAGTAATTTGAGTGTTACTAGTGTGTGTATCTTCCACCTGGATAACTTCCAATAGGTTTGTGGATAAATTCTGCCAAGGACTGATCAGGCCCTCAGCTACCTGTTGAGGGGAATGACAGGGAATAAAGAAAAACAGAGACAATTTTCAAGGTACAGGGGGACTGGGAAGAGACCTATTTCTAGTCAACTGGCTTGACAACCTCTGTGTAGCTTCCTGTTCCTGCGGTGAGACAACACCACCCTGGACTGTGAGGCCTGAATCATTCAGCCCAGTCCCCTATAGAATTCTGTATCAAATCAGGGGTGTGCGGTTTACGTGACTGCCAGCATTCTTTACCCATGTTGCCTCTCAGACCACAGGTCCTCTGCATCCCTAGGACAGGACAGGGCCTGTGTCTCCTGTGCTTGTAATCTCCCCGTTGTGGCTGATGCTCCTGCTATGGTGTATATGAGACTGGACAGCTGGATTTTATTCTAAGCTTATAATTCAAGACTACAGAAAACTGTAGGTGTGAGTTCCACATTGTATACCGGTAGAAAGCTATATGTGCAGAGAGGAAATAACAGTGATAATTCTTGGGGCCTCAGAGAAAACAAAGGAAAGCCTTATCTGCATCGAATTGGGTGGAAGTGAGCTGATTGACAAAATTGGAGCTGCTCCCAGAAAGCAGTCTCAAATTGTTCCAGGCACCAGGAGATAGGTATCTTCGGTGAAGAGCAGGTTTTAAAACCCTCTCCCAGCTCGCCCCCACTAGCTGTGTCTCCCTGCTACCAGCCTCCTCCTCCTCTTTGAGGACAGTCCTTCCAGGGCCTTGAATTGGGGAGGTCCCTGGAGGGTGAGGGTGCAGTAGTAGGGATGTGGAGTGGCCTAGGGGGTGTAGCAGGTGCTGAGGGTACTGCATCTGATGAGCAGGATTTTCCTGTTGCTTAGCTTTTATCCTTGCCCATATCCTTGCGGATCACCGTGGTCACTGGCTTGGCAGTGACTCCACGGCAGTCTCACAGCCCCCGCCCGTCACTCTGCTGCTAGGGTCCCTGAGCTCTGCCGCCAGACTCCCAGGGGTGGCCTGCTTAGTGTGAGGACCCCAAAGCAGAGTCAGTGTGACTCTTGATGACATGACTGGAGCAAAAACCATATGATCAGATCTGGGGGAACTTGCAGCCTGGGGCCCCATGGTGCCTTGACTGGACTCACTAGGCCTGTCCTGGGCCATCTGCCCGCTGTGGATCTGTATCTGTCCTGCAGCAGCAGATTGAAGCTGAGAAAAAGCCATCGAGCGCCCTCGACGAGCCTGTCTCTCACTGGAGACCCAGGCTGACACTGAACGTTATGGTGGATGACTTTGTCTTCGATGGATCCTCGCTCCCTGCCGACGTGCACCGGTACATGAAGATGTGAGTGTTGCATGGGCCCTGCTAAGGGAGTTGAAGCAGTGGGAGGAGCCTCTGAGGCCTGGGCCTTGCCTGCAGCCCCCAGCCCCTTGCCCACCTCCCGAGCCCCTACTGCTTGAGGCCTCAGAGACAGGGAAAGGGAGAAGCTCCAGTAGCTGCCTCCTGCCCTCTTCCCTCAGCAGGGATGTTCAAGGACAGAAATGGCCCGCTGTGACTGGGTATGGCCACTCTTCACTTGTGACTGTGCCCCGTCTCCAGCCACTCGAGCTTGAAACAGAGAGGTTTTTACTTGATTCATCTAAATGTACTTAAAAACATCTTTAGATCACAACCTAGGTCACGTCCCTTCCTGTGAAACATCACTGCTGACGGGAGGGGTGGCCGCGTGTTTCCCCTTTCCCTCACTTGGGGAGCCCTGTGTTGAGACTCACACATGCGCTACCATGTGGCTTCTCGAGGTGGCCACGTGAGGCCACGTGTCTTGCTCACCATAGTAGCCCCTGTGGTGCTTTCCTGGGGCGTTTTCTTTTTAAGACTACATCTTATTTTTGAACGTGTAATTGGTCCAGTTGGTTTAAAGCATAAAAGGGGCAGAAAGGCCGTTTGGTGGAACCCCCCAGCCTGTCCCCAGCCCCCAGCAGGGCAGCTCTCGTCCTTGCAGGGGTGGCAGGTGGGTGTTAGCCCTGCTCCCTACTGCCTCGCAGGTCACTCTGTGTCAGCGCCCAGATGGGCCGCAGGCCCCGAGTGCGGCCGTGCCCTTGGTGCCCCAGCACTGGAGCCTGTGCGGGAGCTTCCCATCTTACCGTACATGACATCTCCATATGGAGAGACCACATCCTAGAGTTCCAGTGCCCAAGATGTGGTCAGATACGATGGGAGCTGGGATATCTCCAGGATCCCAGTTCTGGATGCATTTAGGCCCCAAGGGTGCAGGTGTGCACACTGACAGGGATACTGTGCTTCCATCCCAGGATCCAGCTGGGGAAGACAGTTCACTACCTTCCCATCCTGTTCATTGACCAGCTGAGCAACCGTGTGAAGGACCTGATGGTGAGTTGTCCTCTACCGGGTCCAGTTCTGGCAGGGATCGTCCCTCAGTGCAGTGTCCACGTGGGGTGGGACATGTAGCCTACAGGAGGAAGGTGACCATGGCCCAGCCCTGTCCTCCCTGGGGAAGGCGTCCGAGGGGGTGTCATTAAGAGCTGGGTGTCATGCTAGAGCTCTGTCTGAATAGCTCCTCTGGAGGTGGGGCTAGGACCCATTCAGAAGCATCTTGAGCTGCTAGCCTTCCCGGCCTGGCTCCATGAAGGTCCCAGCCTGGAGGGCGCTGTGAATCCTGGGTGCGAGGTGAGGCTGAGAGGTGGAGAGGTGGTTCCAGGTGCTGAAGGCAGCAAAAGACACCAGCTGACCTTTGGCTGGGAACAAGAATGGTGATGGCTAATGTTTAACGGCACTCGCCTGCCCAGCCCACGCTCAGCACTTGAGGGACGTCCTGACAGTCCTGTCACCAGAGGCTGGCCCTCTCCTTGCTTCACAGCTGGAGTGTTCTGGGCAAGGCTGAGCTCTGGCCAAGATCCCTGCTGAGGCGGACATGCGGGTGTGCCTGCCTGTCACCAGGGCGGTGGAGCTGAGGCTGGGAGAGTAAGGTGCTCGCTGTGGTATGCAGCTGGTCCCGGGCGGGTGAAGGATCCTCTGCAGATGTCTGCTCAGACTCCAGGGCACTGAGCAGGCCGCACCACTCTCCTGGCTGCCTTCCGCACATGTGTGACCTGTGGGTCCGGCGGGTGGTCATGCTGCTCCCAACCTGCCCTTCCCCAGCTCAGTTTCCCTTTGCTCCTCGTGGCACGTGCTGTGGTGCGTTTGCAGTGTCAAGGGTGCTCAGGCTCTTCCTGAACACACAGGCAGCATGGCACGGCCCTGGGGCAGAGGGTGCCTGGGCTCTGTGGAAGCAGGCAGTGTAGTGCAGCCCAGGGCCGCCTGTGGCCACATGTGTGAGGGCCTGGTGCTGTCTGCAGTGGGCACCCTAGGTGCAGGCAACACATGCAGATCCCTGCATCCTGAAGGAGGCTGGTGTTGGAACAGCCTCAGCCTCGGGTCTAGGATGGCCCCGTCCCGACTCAGGAGTAGGCTTGTTGCAGCAGGCCTTGCCTGAGCCATCAGACTTCCCAGAGCAGTGCCGACACAGGACAGCCACATCACGGGGCACTGCAGCGGGCAGGCAGGGAGGCACCGCCTTGGGAAGTGGCATCCCTGGAGTGGGTGGTCTGAGGGTCCCCAGTGGCCTGCCAACCCTCTACAGCAAAGCTTCCACACTGGTGCCTACACCAGGTGGCTGAGGCTCAGGGTGCCAGGTCCCCGGGTCCACCACGCCCCAGACACCAGGGTGGTTGGTGCAGAGGTGGGCATGAGCCAGGCAGCTGCACCAAGTGGTGCTGCACTTCACGTGAAACCTGTCCATACCTGGGGGTTGCAGCCCCTTGAGCTGGAGGATGTGGGCACACAGACTGCCTCTTGCTGTAGCTCACCATCCCTGTGGGCATCCCCAGAGCTCCACCCCAGATCAGGGCACTTGCTGGCCTGTCTCTTCAAAATCTCAGGCTCTGTCAGCTGGGCTGAGATGCCCACTGTTGCCCACCCCCCACCCGTTCAGCTCAGCTGTGGACTGGCAGCTTCCTGGCAGATGCTAGTGGCCGGCCTGTCCCGTGGAGCTTTGGGGTTATGTGGGTTGGAGAGACACCGGGAATGGTGGGCTGAGCTCATGGGGACATAGAGATGTCAGAATACGTGTGGGACTTAGGTGGGTAGAGGCCGAGAGCACTGCACTCAGGAAGAAGCTGCAGGTGGGCGGTGCATCAGGACACCTGCCCCGCCCTGGATGGTGACCAGGGGGAGGGCTCGGTGTGAGCAGAAGGGCCTGGGCTGGGGCCAACTGCCGCCAGGCCCACTGTGGCCAGTGTGGATTACGAGGCAGCAATGTCCACACATGCTGGAACCTCACAGGCTGTCAGAAAGGTGTGCGTGGCCATAGGCCAGGCCCCCATCTGTGTGCTTGGTCCCCAGGGCCAGGTCCTCACCTGCGCTGCTGTCCTGACAGGTCATCAACCGCTCCACCACGGAGCTGCCACTCACTGTGTCCTATGACAAGATCTCGTTGGGGCGGCTGCGCTTCTGGATCCACATGCAGGACGCTGTGTACTCCCTGCAGCAGTTCGGTGGGTTCTCTGGCTCCCTCTGTTGTGGGGACCCCTTGCCCGTGCACCTCCTCCTCCTGGCACAGGTTGTCCATGTCTCTCAGTCAGAGGTCTCAGCATCTGGTCTCCGTCTGCCTCTGAAAGTCCGTTGCGGGCTTTCTGGAAGTTCGCCTTATTTGGAATGTAATACTTTAAATACTGAGTGGGGTTGGGTGCATTCTCACTGCTGGCCAGACAGATTTCTTGGGATCTGAACTGGTGTGTGTTCTTCCTTGGCAGGGTTTTCAGAGAAGGACGCTGATGAAGTGAAGGGCATTTTTGTGGATACCAACTTGTACTTCTTGGCCCTGACCTTCTTTGTTGCAGCTTTCCATGTAAGTGGGCACTTGCAGGCACAGGCACTGGGGGGTAGGCACCAGCGTCCTGTGTCCAGCAGCAAGCCCTCCTGGGCCTTGCAGCTGTTGTCCTGAGGGCTCTCCTGGGTCAGAAAAGGGGGCTTTCCACTGGCACTGGAGACCATTTTCAAAATAGATTGTGAAATACTTCAGGCAGCCAAAGTTGAGTGGCCTTACAAAATGTAAGGCCAGCTGATCTTAACCTGGGAAGACGTCCTGTGTGTGCAGCCAGGTTGTGCAGACGCCCAAGGTGCTGGGAAACTGGCTTTATGACCATGCACTGGGTGCGGGTAGGTGTGGTCGGGGTGGGAATGATAAGAGGAGCCTAAGCTGCCCTAACCAAGTTGGGAGCAAATGTCACTGTGTTCAAGGATGGGGCTGTAAAGGATGAGCTGGCTCGGGGCGTGTGCCCAGGAGGGTGGCATGGAGGAAGCCACCTGACGTGCAACTGAGGGCAGTACCCATGAAGCCCCTCTACCTTCTGGGGCTCTGGCATATGGAGAGGCATAGGGTGGGCCCTGCAGGATGTGATGTTTCCTGCCAAGCCTGGGGTTGGGCCCAATCTGCTCACAGGCTCACCTGGTGGGTACAAGTGACTGAGCTACTCTGGATGCAGACTGTTGTCCTGCTTTTTGCAGCTCCTTTTTGATTTTCTGGCGTTTAAGAACGACATCAGTTTCTGGAAGAAGAAGAAGAGCATGATTGGAATGTCCACCAAGGCAGGTAGGCCCAGAGCAGTTCGGCCCGCATGCAGATGATCTCCGAGGGCTCCTGGGGACCCTGTGGTCTGGCTGTGCTCCCCGGGGAGGCAGCTGTAGACCAGGCGCCTGAACCTGCATGCTGTCTCAGTGATCACTGGCACACCTTGGAAGCTGGGGTGCAGTGAGAGACAGAGTCCTGGGGTGGAGGCTGCTGGCCTAGGCTTCAGTGGCCCCTTTAGTGGGCACAGGGACGTGGGAGCGAGTGCCTAGGCCTGACTCGCAGCCTAGTTGCTCCTGCTTGCTAAGCAGAGGGCTGGCGGCTGGGCAGCAGAGGCGGCGGGGTGGACACAGGTGTGAGGGGGACGGGCAGAGCGCTTCCAGTCCTGTCTGGTCAGTGAGTCTTCTGGACCAGGTCTTGGAAACAGCGTGAGAGTCCGTCTGCAGGGTAATGGATAGGGAAAGTGCGGTATTTGTACACGATGGCGTGCTGCTCTGCCATGAAGGAAGGTGCTCTCGAGGCATTTGTAGGGAATAGAGGCAACTTGAGAACAGAATGTTAAGTGAGATAAGCCAGACACACAGGACTAGATGTCATGTGGTTCTGTTAGGTAAGAAACTCAGTGTGTGTACATCGTATAGAGCAAAATAGAAGAGAGAGAAATATGGGTAGGGAGAAATCCAAATAATTCTCAAGGTTATCCAATGTTCCATTGTTTCCAAAGATTGTAACATGTATGCTAATTTGTTTTTTTGTTGTTGTTGTTTTTCTCCGGTACCGGGAACCGAACTCACGACCTTGCGCTTGCCAGGCAGGCGCTTTTTGCGGCTGAGCTAAATCCCCAGCCCCGCTAATTTGTTTCATTTGTACTACTAGTCTCTTTACAGTTCATTGAAAAGAAAGTTTTGTGCTATTGTGTCTCTTTTTTGTTTTAAAGAGAATTTTAAAAAGTAACAAAACAACAGAAATAAACAAAACTATAGACAGCCCTTCCCAGTCCTTGTCTCAGCCCAGGAAGTTTATATTTGTAATCCCATGAAAAGTTATTGGAATTTTAGTGAGTTAATTCCAATCTACCACTTCCAGTGCAACCCATGGCGAGAATAAAGACAGTAGGCATATTTGTAGCTGTGGGGAGCCAAGGTGTCCTAAGTCCAGCCACGATGATGGCCATCCGGAACAAAGGCCTCCACCCAGGTCCCAACCTGGGTTTTATTCATTTCTGAAGAAGGGAGTGGCTTGAGGATGAATGACTGGGAGGGTGGCAGGAAATACGTGAGTACCATGAGCAGGGGCTCTGGGAGACACACCTGCCATCTCCAGAGATTACCATCAGCACCTGGGCTAGACCGATAGGCATTGCTTAAAGCCAATTGAAGGGATAAGGAAAGATCCTAGCCAGCTCTGTACATATCGATACATGGAAATAGGGTCCGGCTCAGCCAAAATGGAGACAGTTGCTCCTCTTTTAAGGAGCGTCACCTAGGTGGTCCTCCTCAAAAACAAAGCAAAAAACAATAAAAATGATACAGGGTTTCAAAGAAAAGGGTAGGAATTAACAGTGGTTGTTATATTACATATTGTTATCTTCAACGAAGTTGATCAGGTTACCACATGTAAGAATGCAAGATTGATCAAACCATTAAAGCAAATAAGAAAGTAATTTAAAAAACATTAGAAGTGATACAGAGCTTTTGTAATAGAACCTTTTTTGTCTGTCTTGTACTCTGAGTAACTACTTAGTAACTACTTTCAAGACAGTGGTACACAGTGTATTAACTTTTACATGTGTGTCTTTTTGAGACAGGGTCTCACTATGCATTTCAGGCTAGCCCTGAACTCACTTTGTAGTCTAGGCTGGTCTCAAATTTACAACGATTCTCCTGCCTCAGCATCCCGAGTGCTGGGACTACAGGTTTGTGCCACCATGCCTGGCTTTACTTTAGTGTCTTATTTTGTTAGGAAATCTTTAATTTTTCATAAAGTAAAAAAGCATCTTAGATGAAAAGAATAATAATTACTAAAGACACTAATAAATAAATATAGTAAGTTATAGTGTAATGTAATTATGTAAGCAAATGACTCTAATGGAAAATTGACATGACTCCGTAGTATTAGGAGCTCAAAGTTACTTCAATCTAATTATTTGGTATAAAGCAGACATCTCCCTTCAAGAAAATGGAATTCTTTTTGATGGTTAAAAGAAAGCAGCAGGTAGCATGGTGGTGCATGCTTATAACCCAGCACTCGGGAGGCTGAGGCAGGGGGATCACAGCAAGTTTGAAGCCAGCCTGGACCAATAGACCTTGTCTCACAAAAGCAAAAACCTCCTGCCTTTGGCTTCAGGGCTCAGACCCATGCAGGTCTCAGACATGAAAGGCAGCTTTTTTGCTCAAAGACAAACGCTGGTAGGCCCTCGGTGTCAACAAGTCTCCTAGGAGACGGACCATGTGTCTTGCATGTCTCTGCACCCCGCCTACCTCCACGCACCAGGCCTTGCAGAAGGCAGAGCACACAGAGGATTTCAGAGTACAGCATGAGCAGGAAGAGAGGCAGCTTAGCAGAGAAACCTGGAGCCAAGCGAAGTGTCAGGAGAGGCGAGGTGAGGGAAGCTGGCGTGCAGCCCGTACCTGCTGTGCAGCTCCCTGTGTGTGAGGTGACGCTCACAGGCGTCTGAGCAGGCTGCTTCCATCTGGCCGGCCCTGTGGCTTTTCCTGATCGTCTAGGGTGCTTTCCAGAGTTGTGTAGTTACCATGTTACTCTTGCTGTTGGAGGTGCCAGGCATGGACGGGGCTACATGTGTGCTAAGCTAACTCTGCCCCATGGAGCCGCCCTGTTCCCAGCTCCTCAGGGCAGGGCTGTGGCAGTCGTAGGGAGCAGGAGGCTCTGTGGGTGGGAGGGTGGGGGTGTTCAGGGGTGGGTGGCCCCGCCCTCACCACACCCCCTGTCCCCAGTGCTCTGGCGCTGCTTCAGCACTGTGGTCATCTTCCTGTTCCTGCTGGACGAGCAGACAAGCCTGCTGGTGCTGGTCCCAGCTGGCATCGGGGCCGCCATCGAGGTGAGTCCTGAGCTGCCTGGGGTGCTGGGGGCCGCGTGAGATCTTGGCCTCTGCTTCGGTCAGCGGCTCTGAGCCTGAACTGTGCGACCCTGTGTGCCGTCCCAAGAACTGGGCTCCTGCGCAGTCCAGGGTTCTGGGAAGTGTGGGCAGCTGTGCGGTGCTGGGATGGCTGTGCCGGGTGACGCAGCCCCACAAGCTGCGTGAGCACAGTTCGAGATCTGCTGACCGCAGGGCCGTCGAGGAGATGGTGGCCTCCTGGGAAGGCGCAGGGCTGAGCAAGCTGGGGCAGTTGACCCTGGCATGTCAGAACGTTGAGTGCAGTGTCTTGACTTCCCTTCAGCTCTGGAAGGTGAAGAAGGCCTTGAAGATGACTGTGGTCTGGAGAGGGCTGAGGCCCATGCTGCAGGTGAGTCCAGTCCTGCCTTCCTCTCCATCTTCCGCCAGCTGTTCATGTTCACCAGGGATCTCGTTTCTCCTGCTGCTCCCCAGACAGTGCCTGATGTGTGTGGCAGGGCTTGTGGGACCCTGTTTGCAGCCTGGCACCCAGGGACGCGTGTGGTGCTGTGGGTCTTACCTGCTGGCTGGCACAGGCTCGTGCTCCTCACTCATCTGCCATCCTCCCTGGAGCAAGGTCTGGCCCGCAGGCCCCATCTTGGGCTGGTCAGCTATGTCTCCTTGGCAGGGCAGGTCTGGGTCAGATGCCAGCACTTGATGTTCTCGCTCACAGGCATTTTTCCACAGTGGCCCTCGATCTCGCCCTCAGCGGTGTGCAGCATCTCCCCCGGCTCGGGTGCTGGTCCTTGTGTCTGTTGTGTAGCATTGGCCCAGGGACTCTTGCACCTTTGCTGATCAGAGACCATCAGGAGTGCTACTTTTTTTTTTTTTTGGAGACAGAGTCTCACTATGTAGTTCAGGCTGGAGATCCTCCTGCCCCAGTCTCCCATGTGCTAGGATTACAGGCATGTGCCAACATGCCCAGCTGGTCAGGACTGCCTCTGTGTGAAGTGTTTCTGCGGGGAAACCAGCAGCCTGGGAGCGTAATGTAGCCCCGGAGGGTGGGCACACGGCAGTGGACCCTGTGGAGCGAGGCAAAGGCAGCCCCACGCACATGGCCCATCCAGTCCCCAGCCTGCAGCGGGGCCGGGTGTACTTCTCAGGTGTTGTCAGGTGTTGACGGCCTCTGCCTGGCCATGCTGAGTCCTTCTCGTAAGCTGATGCTGTGTTTGATCTCACCACAGTTTGGCACCTATAGTGAGTCTGAGAGGAAGACTGAGGAATATGACACGCAGGTAAGCCTGGAGACTTGCACAAGCCTGTGACACCATCCTTCGGCGGGAAGTGTCTCTCTGTAGAGTGGCTGGGGCCATCTCGAGCGGGGACCCTAAGAGCAAGCACGCAGGATGCATTTCTTACAGGGAAGGGGTGCCTACAGAGCCAGCTCCCAGCCTTGCAGTGAAGCCAGGCCGCATGGCCCACAAGCCTGGAGAGGTCCCCAATGTTGTTGCTAGGTCCCACATGGCCTGCTATGACTGCCAGGGCTGGGGCGACCCTGAGGGGGTGGCAGGAGGCAGGGTCTGACTTCCCTCTCGTGCCCCGTGCTATGAGAGCTGCAGGTGTTGGTTTTGACTTAATGCTCATTGGTTTGGGTTTCAGTTTTTACTGAGATGGGAAAGAAGCTGAGATCAGGGCAGGCGTGGCTCGTGATGTGACTGTCACGCACGGAGTCCCTTGCATGGCAGCTGTGGCCTGCAGTGGCAGGCCTGTGTAACGGGTCAGAGTGCAGCCTCCCCCTCGGGCCCACGTCCCACGGGTCTCCACTAATGCAGAGGCACGCGTCCCTCTGCCGGGTAACTCAGCGGTGTCGCTACCCCAGACGTCACATGCAGTGTGGTTTCCGCCTTTGCCGCTGAGGCGTAATGGGCTTGCCTCTGTCCCGCAGGCCATGAAGTACTTGTCCTACCTTCTGTACCCTCTGTGTGTCGGGGGTGCTGTCTACTCACTCCTCAACATCAAGTACAAGAGGTAGGTGCAGCCCTGCACGTCGCACCTCCACACTGGGCTGTGAGCCAGCATCTGTGGGAGTGCTCGAGTCTGGGCCCCAGGTGCTGGGACACCAACTCAGTGGGCACTTGTGCAGGCTCCTCCCTGTCCAGTAGAGCTCGTGAGGAGCAATCCTGGACTGAGCTGGCGGCGAGAGTGAGGTGTTTTGTTGCCCTGTGTCTTCTGGAGAGGCAGCTCGCCCTGCTCCAGCTCTTGTGGAAGGCAGAGGCTGGCAGAATGGAGAAAAGGAGAAAGCCAGTACCAGCCAGGGCCCGCGGGGCTTGGGGCTTCCGCTAGCGAACTCACGGAGGGGCTGGGCGGAGTCTCGGAGCCCTGGGTTGGAGTAGCAGGGCAAGTTGGAGATGGTGGGTGGAGGGGCCGGGTCGGGATGGAGCGGGGGCAGCGGGACACACGGTGCCATCCTTTGGTCTTGGGGGAGCCCATATTTGCATGGCCGGGCTTTGCAGCAGATCAGGAAGATTGAGCAGGGTGAGGGGACAGGGTGTCCAAGAGAGCTGAGTGTCTTGGAAGGTATCTCATGGAAGGGTTCCACCGACGGGGCATGAGCTTCCCAAGGGTCAGGACTCTTCCTTCTCTTTCAGTTGGTATTCATGGCTCATCAACAGCTTCGTGAATGGTGAGTCTGGGCTCCCTGTGGGCGACGTACTGCCTTTCCTGCCCGACCCGGGTGACACTGCCTGTGGTTGGACGCCCACCCACTGCTCAACTCCCTATGCCTGGGGAGCCTCGGGTGCCCAGACTGCTTCTCCTGGAAATGGGAGACCTGAGCACCGTGGTGCAATCCAGACGTCTGACTCCCAGAACCACTGGACCCCTAGGCCACAGTGTGGCCTGCCACCTGTGTGACTCGAGCCCACCCATGTCCTGTGTGCAGCCCCGGTGCCAGGTGTTGGGGCCCTTCCTCAGGCGCCCACAGGCAGAAGGGCCAATCTCCCCCTGTGGAGCAAGGGGTCCTGCACAGCCCTGCACCCTGAGAGAGTCCCAGACTTGGTCCCAGGCCCCAGGCAGGACCTGAGGCCGAGTCCTCACAGGCCCAGGCGACTCCTGTGCCCAGCTTTGCTTGATCCTTGCCGATAGGCAACATCGGGCTCCCTGAGCTGCTCTCATGGCTGTGTGGAGCAGTGTCTTGCTGCGGCTGTCCCGAGTGTGGCGTGGCAGGGCACGCACTGCCCTTCCCACAGCGCTGTCTGTCCCCACAGGGGTCTACGCTTTCGGCTTTCTCTTCATGTTGCCCCAGCTGTTCGTGAACTACAAGGTAAGGTCCATGTGCATCCTGGAGTGGGCAAGGCACCGTGTCTCCAGGTGCCCAGACTGACTTGAGCCCCTCTCCCTGTGGCAGATGAAGTCGGTGGCACACCTGCCCTGGAAGGCCTTCACCTACAAGGTCAGTGCTTGGCACACCAGCCAGCAGAGCTCCACTAGGTCCTGTCTTTGTCTTTGGTCCTGGGGGTGAAGTCCAGGGCTCACTGAGCACCCCAGCCCTTTTGGAGACAGGATATCACAGAGTTGCCCACTCTAGATCCTTCTGCTTCAGCCTCTTGAGTAGCTGGGATTACCAGTGTTTGCTACTGCACTTGCCCGGTTCTTCTGTTGAAAAATGTGAAGAAGTGTTTTAAGAAAATATAAAGGGCCACGGAGTAGCTGTCGCTGCCCCGTTGGAGGGAGTGAAGGCCGGGGTCTCTTTTAAGCATCATCAAAGCACAGCCACCTTGGCCCGTGACTTGGGGTCTGGGGCAGCGGACCCAGCCCCCAGGCCCAGTGCCCTGGGCAGTGTGGCAGGGTGACCCCGGCCTCAGCGTGCAGTGTTGAGTGAGCGGAGTTAGAACTCAGCATGGTTTTCCGTTTTCCAGAGTGAGGTGAGGAGTCCCTCAGCCATTCTGCTGCAGCTCCACCCACCCACTGCTGGCTGTGGTATCTCTCCACTTGCTCAGTCTTCGCTTTCATTGCTTTGTTTATGTTTCCCCCCTCAGTACTGGGGTTTGACCCCAGAGCCTTCGCACGGAGCTACATCCCTACCCTTTTTTTAAAACAGGGTCTCATTAAATCACTCAGTGCTCAGACTGGGCTCAAACTCAAGATCCTCCTGCCCCAGGCTCCCAGAGTGCTGGGGTTACAGGTGTTTCCCCCGCCCCAGGCCAGCATCACAGCAGGAGGACTGCATGTCTGTCTGCTGTGGCGCAGCTTTCTGCTGGGCAGACAAGCAGCGGGACTGGAGCCTGGCGGTCTCATGACCGCCCGCTGGCTTTGCAGGCCTTCAACACCTTCATCGACGACGTCTTTGCCTTCATCATCACCATGCCCACATCTCACCGGCTGGCCTGCTTCCGGGACGATGTGGTCTTCCTGGTCTACCTGTACCAGCGATGGTGAGTGGCAGAGCCCTGCCCAGGCCCTCGCGGTGGGGCAAGACCATGTACAGGTGGTGGGTTCCAGTGCCAGTAACGGGATGCATCACGGGATTGTCCCTCCTCGTCACCCTGGCAGGGAAGTGCTGCGTCCTGATAGGTCATGGGTTGGCTGGGCCTGGGGCTCCCTCCAGGGTCTGTCCCCCAGGGGTGCAGGGTGTCAGGTGAGATCACTGAGCAGTGCCCTGCAGGTAGGGGCGTGGTCTACAGGGGCATCGCCCACCTGGCCCGGCCGCCCCACCCTCTCCCCGCCCGGGCTGGAGTCTGAACATCCTTGGTGCACATGTGACCCTGCTTGTGCTGTGCCTGGGGCTAGGGGAACAGGGTATCCGGGACAGGCCTGGCCCTCAGTGTGGGGCGCTGCAGAGACTGGTCGTGAGGGCTGCCCTCCCCCTGCCCTGCCCCACGTTGTGTCCTGGAGTGGGGAAGGGGCTCATCTGGGGTGGGTGTTGCTTCCCTCCTGGTGGCCAGTGAGCACCCAAACTTCACCTGTGCGTCCTCCTGCCTGCTTCCTCCCTGCCACCCCGGAGGCCACCCTCTGCCCCCGGGCAACACTGCTTCTCTGCATCTCCTCGGGCAGGGCCGTGATCACGGCTGGGTGCAGGGAGGCTGTGCCGCGTGCGTGTCCGCATGGTGCCCTGACTACAGGAGTGAACTGGCTGTGCAGAGCTCAGTGCCGCATCTGCTGCTTGGGGCCTCGTCTTAGGACTGAGCCCTGTCCTCCATAGGGTCCTGAGCCTCAACTCCCACTTGCTTCTCTGCAGCCCTCAGGCTCTTCGCGGGCAGCCCCAGGGCGCTGCAGGGAGCGGGTTGGGCTTTAAAGCAACATGTAGCCCTGTGTGGAGCAGCTGTGGGCGAGGCCCTGGGGTCTTGGTGAAGGGAACAACCACCTGCAGGTTCCTGGGCTGGACGAGTGGGGAGGACGCTGCCCTCAGGGTCAGCCCTCAGCCTCCGACCAGCCAGGCTCAGACTGAGTGCTCAGACTCAGGGGGCCCAGCAGAGCAGGGGTGTCACCCCGAAGCAGGCCTGCACCCCCATGCCGCAAGGGGGCCTGCCGAGCCCCCGAGCTTCTCACCGCACCGAGCAGCCGCTCTTGCCGTCCCTGTGGCACTGGGTTCCCCTGAGCGCCACTGGTGTGTTGCAGGCTTTATCCTGTGGATAGGAGCAGAGTGAACGAGTTCGGGGAGTCCTACGAGGAGCAGCCTGCTCAGAAGCCCCACGCAGAGTGAGCACCACAGTGTTGTCACAGGCAGGGCCCGCTCTCCACGAGTATTCCTGGAAGCTTTGGGAAGTCCTGACGCCACCTCTTCCGACTTGCCAAATCCCTCTGGGTGTCGGAACCTCCGGAGCTCCTCTGCCTTTGGGAGGCGGCCGAAGCGCCAGGGTGTCCGAGCCACCCTGAGCCTGTGTCCTGGCACAGAGGCGCTGGCGGTCCCGCGGTGCTCAGGCAGGAGCCCTGGGGGCTGCGTTGGCCTCCTGGTGTCTCCCACCCCTCCCGCCCCCACCCCAGACACTGGAGCCCTCGGAGGCAGGAGGAGGTGGGACTTCCATTTCGGTTGTTTGAAGTGCTCCTTACGTGAAGCTCAGTGCATACGGAAAGTCATTCCACAGACTCTGGGATCAAATGGCTTTTTCCTTTTCGTTGAAAAATTGTTTTAAATCTTAATGTATGTATGTTTCTATTTTAAAATAAATCTCTCTGGCTGTGATGTTTTGTGACCTGGGGTAACATGGGAAGAGCTTCAGGTGTTTTGTGGCCAACCTTGCCCACAGGTTAGCCCAGCAATGGTGAGCTGTTTAGAGAGTTCAGTGATACAGGCAGCTGTAGCACGCGTGCCATAGGTTTGCCACCCTGGATTAGCTGTGAGCTCTGCTACAGCGACAAGGCAGCAAACCCAGCCCCTCCTGCCCACGTGCCAGGCGCGCACAGCGGCTGCTCGCAGCACTGCTGGGTTGGAGAGATGCCCAGAGGGAGGGACGCAGAGGCGAGGTACAGAGCCGGGGCTCACCGGGGTGTCCTATGAGGTGACCGTGTTCTGGCTGAGGTGCTGTTTCCAGAGGGGCTGCCAAGGCTGTCTCTGTCCTGGAAATGCAAGCCAGCTGTGACTGAGGCCGCTGGTCCCCTTCTCTCCGGGCACTGCCTCTCAGGGCTGCTGCAAGTGTGACTCCAGGGGACAGTTCACACTGAGGAGCAGACCTCGGTCCTGGGCAGAGTGTCCGCAGTGACTTCATCACCAGAGGTTCCAGGTTGTCTCTGTAGCGCTACGGAAATGCTGCACAGGGCCTGGAGTGATTACCCTAGGTCTGTCTGTTGCCAACCACCCTGCAACCCCACACAGCAAACACAGATCCAGTCTCAGAACCAGCTTTTCTGCTGGGGAACCCAGTCCTCATGGGTTGTTAGGGGTGGCGCCAGCACAGCCTCGCAGAGCACTGGGCCAGGGCGGGAGGCGGAAGAGAGGACAACCATGCAGCAGCACCCTTCCCCAGGGCTGTGACGTGCCCTGGCTGAGGGTCTGCAGGGTGACCTGCAGCATGAGCTCCCATCGTGCTCACAGCCCTGGGGTGTGAAGCTGTGGAGACCCCCAGGTCCTCATGCCACACCCACCCCTCTACCCAAGGTCTCCTGAGGGTGTTCTCAGGGCAGGGAGGCTGGCCATGGGATAGTAATGCCTGAGGGGCCATGCAGTGTCACCCTAGCTGTAAAAGTCTCTTGACCTTGAACCAAGAGAACTGGGATCGGCCTGGCAAGGCTGCTGGCCTACACCTTCTTGTTCTCCCCTGCGGTGGTTGTACCGCTTCCATCTCGTACCCCTATGCCAGCTTGCTTTTGTCTCTGCCACACTCATTCCTCGTACTTCTTCTCTTGTGTGTTGGGAGATTTTTGATTCTATGTTCACATTTGGCTACAATGAACCTGGACAAATCCTGAACCCTGAAATGCTTGTCCTCTCCTCCAGGATGGGTCTTGAGTATCTGGAGGCACGAGGCCGGCTTGAGGGACTGGCTAGTTCAGAGCCCTCGACAGGACACACAGCAAGGCTGGGGCCACAGGTAGAGGCTGAGGGGTGAGGTTTGCACAGAGCCTGAGGTTGGGTTTGGCCCTGGGGGCTGCGGCAGACAGGAAGCAGGCATGAGGTATTCTCAGTTATGAACCTCACAGATCCTTGCAGATGCCCCCCAGGAAAACGCAGTGTGCGCCTGGGAGTCAGGAGCCTGTGGACAGCATAGCCAGGAGCCATGGGCCAAGTAGGGTGCCTATGGCAGAGGGCCAGAGGTGCCCCGGACTCCTGGCGTGGGGCCTGAGTTGCTCGAGTGAGGGAGCCACCTCCTTCAGAAGGCTGAGCTGAGACCGAGCAAATGCCCACAGAGCATCCTGTCCTCTCCTCTTCCTCTTCCTGTATCCAATCAGAACCAGCACCTCAAAGTCCAGAGGACCCTCCTGAAGGGCTTCACAGACTCAGGTCCCCAAGAGATGGGTCTGCACCCAGGCGGCTGCGAGGAACAGCAACACGTCCACAAAAGGACAGTGAGGAGCTTTAATCCCGCGAGCAAATTTGACCTTTCCAGTCCTAGTGGATGATTTTATTGTACTGTTTTGTTTGCCTGAATTTCATCAAATAACTTTAAACTGCAAAACCCCAAAGATGTAAAACAGGAAGCAAGTGATGTTTGCCAAGGTGCAAGGATTAAATAACCACAGTCAGAGGGATTGTTTGCCCTAAGCACTTTTATTGGTTTTCATAAGGCAGTTTAAGGTGCAGGAGAAAGCAAACACCCGAGTGACGGGCTTGGCTGGATTAACCTGGCTGAGCCTCAGCAGAGCAGGATCAGCGCCTAGCCCAGTGAGGCCAGGTCTCTGGAGCTCTCCCCTCCACCCCATCCCCAGCACGCATTCATGCCCCTCGCTAGCCAGGCTGTCTGGTATTTCCAGAAGCCAGCAACCCGGGCTTCTGACCGCACAAGAGGACACCTGTCCATGCACTTCCTAGTTGTGAAATAAAGTGCAGGAGACTGCAAGGAAATGGAGACCAGTGCCAGTGCTCCTGTTGAGATCTTGCCCACCGAGAACTGGACAAGCACCTGGTAATCTCTTTGGGACCAACAAACCACAGCATGTCTGAGACACACAGGGTCCTGCCCAGGAGCCAGGAGGAGGATGGCTGGGGCCAGCGGGTGCAGCCGCAGGGTTCCATTCCCCAAGATAGGGGTGCAGGGAAGGGGACTTGAGGCTCCTCTGGCTGCAGTCCCCTGCTTCCTGCGTGGATGGCCTGGGCTAGGGGAGCTCTGTGTCATCTCTCCCTTCTTCTAGCAGGGAGCTGTGGTCCCCAGGAAGTTCCTTCTGGTGTCAGCATCCACCTCTCAGGCAAACACTCTCCACTCCACCCCCTGCAGTGCTCTGGCCACAGACTCAGGACAGGGTCCTCACAGTGTGCCCCTCTCCGCTGCTGTTCACTATACCGAGGGACCAGATGGGCTCTGATGCCCTAGCCCAGGCCCAGCACATAACCCGGGCAGATTCCTGGGCCAGCCTTGGGCTCAGCTGCAACGTCCAAGTGCTGCCTCCTCCTGCAAGGTGTACAGTCGTCCTCCTCACACAGCACGGGGCAAGCCACATGGCACCAGTGCCACAGTGGGAAGACCGCCTTGCTTACTGTGGTGGGGTGAAAATGCCTCAGCCCCTCTGCCAAATGTCTAACCACACTCCTCCAACCCATCGGCCAGCTGCACTCCAGGGCTTTTGTGCATCCCAGAGCCATGGAAATCTGTACAACATCCGGCCCGGGGAGGCCATGTATTTGGGGAAAAGGGAAAAAGGACTTATTCAAAGCTAGGCCTGAGGAGACGGAGGGCCCATTTGCCTCACATCACCATCTCACCCTGAAGAGTGGGCCCCTTCGATGCGGTCAGCATCAAGCAGAAGAACCTGTACACATGAAGCTAAATGGCCGGTAACACGGCACCAGCTGCACTTCTCTGGTATCAGTTTTCCATATTCGCTTTCCTGCTGATGGGACAAAGTTCCTCACACCTGCAACTTACACAAGAGGGTTTATTTGGCTCACTGTTTGGGAGGATTCAGACAAACACAGCCGAAGGGCCTGGTAGAGGAAAGTTGCTCACCCGATGGCAGCAGAGAACAGAAGGGAGGGGGCGGGGGCAAGGATGCACCTCCAACCACCCCACCTCCTAACAGCACCTTCAGCCATGCATGAGCTCACCCATGGGTGAATCTACGGATGAGTACAGCACTCCATGATCCAGTCACCTTCCCACCTCCCCGCCTCTGAATGCAGGAGCCTTTGGGAGATCAACATCTAAGCCTGACATGGCCTCCAAGCTGGAGAACACCCAGGACGTCTCCAGGGGCTCCACTTTCATGGCCTCCAAGCTGGAGAACACCCAGGACGTCTCCAGGGGCTCCACTTTCATAATGATACTGCAGCTACAGGAAACCAGTGCTGGACCTTGTAATTGTTTCAGAACAGTAATTTTTTTTTGTTTGTTTTTTTCCGGTACCAGGAATCAAACTCACAACCTTGCGCTTGCCAAGCAGGCACTGTGCTGCTGAGCTAAATCCCCAGCCACTCAGAACAGTAATTTAAAGAAACACTCAAGGGTTAGCACTGAAGTTCTGCCTGAGCAGGAAGAGTTAGACACAAGGGCCCACCTCATCCCAGAGCATGACTGGGATCAATGGCCTCTTCTGCAGGCAGCACAGCTGGGCCCACTTTGCTTATACGTTTGTAGTGAGTCTGGGAAGACAAACCTGCGTGCATCCTGGTAGGTGTAGGTGTGTAGGGGCCAAGCCTGGATCAGGCAAGTGGGTGAGGCTTGTGCCTGCTGCTGTCCAGCACTGGCAGGCTCTGTGCATGAACAGCCTGTGAGCTCGGGCACGGGTGGCCAGGTCTGCAGCCCAGTGACAGTGACTGAGCACAGGTGGCCTTGGGCCCCACTCTGGGTCTCCTGCTTACTAATCACCTCCCCTGGCTCCAGACACTCCCTGGGCAGGAGCTCCCACAATTCAACCCTCCCATCTCAGATTCACCCAGAAAGGCTTTCTGCACTTCCTCACAGACAAGGACCCATCCGAGCAACCTGGAACACAGGAGTCCCAATTCAGGGCCATGAGTGTCCCCTCTGGGACAGGAGCCAGCATGGACCTGCTGCTCTCACTAACAGCCCTGAGTGCATGTGGCACGCGTGGATGTCACCATGCACACAGGAAGTCATGGTGGGGTGCCGCAGTCCGGCTGCAGCAGGTCTATGAGATTCCTGCAGGAGGGAACGACGCAGGCAAAGAGACAAACAACACAGACACCAGAGGTCCTTCTGGTGGGACAGGAAAGCAAGGCTCTTCTGACACAGGGAAATGTTTTTGCTTTATTATATACTTTTGCAATTACACATGAAACTTGGCAGGTTAAACAGTTTCCGCTTAGATACGGTGAGGCTTCTATTTTAGTTACAGGTTCAGACATGGTTGACCTGCCATCTGGCCACAATCCTAGCAGAAAACCAATTTTTCTAAAGTACATAAAAGGATGCAAAAAGATCAATCATTAGGCGTTCTTGATGAGGTGTAATTTTTCAAAGAACTGTTTACTTGTCTACTGGACAACAGGACCCGCATTTAGAATACCTCCATCTAGAGTCAGTCCAGCACACAGAGGGCGTTCGCCTAATGTTTTCCCATGCACTGAGGTTTGCGCAGCGCTCCCTTCCCATTCTGGTGGGTGAACATCGCCACACAGGAGGTAGGGGACCGATGCAAATCTCTGCGGTGGCTTTTATTCCCCTTCAACCCTGGAAGGGTGCCTTTCATCCTGGGCTCTGATTCCTTAACTACTTTCAGTTCTGATCCTTCAGGTCCCCAACCATCTTTTATCAACAGTGCAGTGAATATCTGAATATCTGGAAAGCTATGATTCATGGAGAGTAGACAGAGGCCGCACACCCAATGCGGTCCCTGCTTTGCAGATACCCGCTGCCATCCTGACGTTGTCAAGGAGCTGGCACTGAAGGTCTCCGGCATCGGGGTGCTTCTCGCCCCGTGGAGCTCTGCAAGCTGCCGAGGAGCTGGATCCTGGTACTCGCTGCTGGTGCTGCAGAACGCCGGGCAGGTGGGCAGCCTGTCAGCACCGGGCTGAAGACCTAGGACAGCACTGTGCTAGCGTTTATTTTTCTGCATTAGGGGCTCAATCCCGGACCTTTGGAATGAGGTACATCCGGCCCTTTTATCTTTTTACTGTGAGACAGGGTTTAAGGTTCAGTGTTGCTCAGGCCTGGCTCGAACTTGCCATCCTCCTGCCTCAGCCCCCAAGAGTGCTGGCATTACAGGTGTACACCACACCTGGCTTGTGCTGCTGTATTTTAAGCCAGTAACACAATGTTTTTCTCTGAACATTTTTCACGTTTTGCAGTGTGATGGTTTAAGACCTTTATTACCTTTCATAGAAGCACTAATACCCAGGTGATGCTGGGGAGGGAATTTGGTTTCCACTGAGGGCCAGGCTCTCACAAGGACTAGGAGCACATCTTGCCTGGGCAACGCTGCCTCAGTTTCTTTTCTTTCCCCTTGTGGAGCTGCATATAGAACCTAGGAACTCGTGCAAGCCTAGTGCTCTAGTGCTGCGCTACACCCCAGCCCTCTTTCATTCTTACTTTTTGAAATTATATTTTCTACGCTGATTTCCCTGAGGAACCTGAGTTACTTCCGGTTGTTGGAGAGAATTTTCTAAGCCAGTCCCAAATCCTCTAGCGGCACAATCAAGCTATTCTCAAGCACAGCCTTAAAAGAGGCAGAAAAGCCTCACTAGGGGGCTTTCCAAGAGAGCAACCTGTAATCCCAGCGTGTACCAGGCCCGCCTGCAGGAGGGAGGGGGAGAGCACCAGCCGCTGCCCGCCGGGAGGGCGCGGCTTGTTTAAATGCTAAACCCTGACTGAGGCAATTTCCTCACCAGGTTCTCACGGCTGGGAGGCTGGATTTGTTAGCATTCCCTCCGGGGCCCCACAAGTTTCCGCCTCTCCCAAGAGTCGACCTTGAGGGGCCGGCCTAGGTGTGCGGCATGGCGGTCCGCACGCGGGAAGCATCCTGACTTCCGGCCCTCTGAGCGGTTGCGGCTGGGTCCTTCGGGGCGCCGTTCTCGCCTCCTCCGGCCGTGGATGGAACGGGCCGGCGCTGCGTGCTAACGGGCAGCGGCGAAGGGTGCTGCGCTCATAGCTGGGGCCGCAGCAGACGAAGAACTTGCAGAGGAAGCCAGCCTGGGGCCAGGAACAGCCCTGTGGCCCCAAGCCCCGGCCGGGGCCGGAGCCGCGTCTCCACCCTCCCGAGCGGGTCCGGGGCGCACTGCCCCGGCCCTCGGGAAGCTCTTCGTCCCGACCCCAGGGCAACCTTGGTGCCCAGGTCTCGGACCCACGAGAAGGACGAAGGAGTACATCACGAACCCGATTTCCCACGCACCCCACGTCACTGCCACCCTCGCGGCGCGCGGCCTCGCCCCCTCCCGCTCCCGGAAGGCGGCACACAGCGGGTCCGCGGCAGCCCGCGCCTCCGCCCGAG